TGTCTTGCTCAAATATTTTTGGATTTTGGAGCATTTCAGATTTTTAATTTTCATATTAGGGACATTCAACAGGTAAAGTCTTTGAAATTATTTCAAAATCCAAAAAACTTCCAAATCCCAAACATTTCCAGTCCCAACCATTTCAGATAAGGATACTAAACCTGGGTACTATGTAAATAGAACTGATTCACAATCTTGCTGGGTATTTGGGGATATTTGAAAACCAAACTAACTGGCACCGCATCTCTAATTGATTCAGTGTTTTCTTGTCTCTACGAGCTGAAACCCTGCCTCCTTCCCAGAGCTGCCCTGTGACCAGCCCCTTCATCCAGCTCCTGTTCAACTGTGGGTAAAATTGGAGTCAGAAACAAGTGAGGGGGCCACTGTCGTGGCTGTGAGGAGCTCCTCAGGCCTGTACCATGAGGGTAGCATCTGGGAAGAGGAGGAGTGACAGATGCACAAAACGACTCAGAGGCTTATTTCATGTTCTGGCAAAACCTGGTGCATGGTGGAGCTATGCATTCCTGATTATGCTCTTCACAGTACTCCTGAGACAGGGGTGGCCTCCAAGGAGCACTGAGTCGCAGGTGTCACAGCAGCGCATTTAGTGTTCTAGTTCCTAAGAGGAAGTTGGGTTCACATGTTGTGCTTTATATTTGCATATACAAATGTTTTGCGGATCCTTTTGCATAGATCTAATAGCACAGAATTTAATATGTGAACATTAAGTTCAGCCTAAAGTACTTCTTAGTTATTCATGTACTCTAGGACTATCAGGATACCAAAAACAGGTTTTGCCATGGAAGGAGCAGAACGCCAGTCACACACAAGCTCTGCCACCCGCACATCCCACTCCCTGAGGCTGTTGCTCACTGAAGCGGCTGTTGCCTTTCTTTCTTTCTTTTTTTTGAATTTTTTTTTTTGATGTTGATGGACCTTTATTTTGTTCATTTATTTGTACGTGGTGCTGAGAATCGAACACAGTGCCTCACACATGCTAGGCAAGTGCTCGGCCACTGAGTGTCAACCCCAGCCTTGTTGCCTTTCTTTCTTAGCACAGGTGTGATGGGACGCCGAGAGCAGAGAGGGACACAAACCAGGATAAGAGGACAGGGCAGAACAGGAAAATCCCACGGAGAACCTCCTTTCCAGAATGCTAAACAAAGGGGAGAAAGACCTGAGAGGGAGAAAGGAAGGGTGGTGGGAGGAGCAGATAAAAACTACAGTAGTGCACACAACAGAGACAGAATAATTCACACCCCACGTGCAAAGTGGGGACAGGAAGGCTGAGTCAAGCATGGACTAGCATTTGGGGCCCACGCATGGGCTCTTTTAGACACGGTGGCCACCGAGAAGCAAGCCTAGCCCTCATCAGTCACATGTTTTGCTGTGTGGAACGCAGAGCTCCTTCTTCGTTTCACCATCGTGAACCAAAATTGATTGGGCAAGGTCACCTGCTAGAAGCAGTGCAGGAGGGACACAAGACTGAGTAAGAGAGGCACCAACCAACACTGTCTAAGCTGTGGACTACGCTGCTGACCAGAGAGCTGGATTGAGCAGGTGGATGTGACGAGGTGTGTGTGTGTGTGTGTGTGTGTGTGTGTGTGAGAGAGAGAGAGAGAGAGAGAGA